ATACGCACCGTGCAAATTACACTGTATTTTTCCCCTCTTGCAGTTGAAGTGTGTGTATGTGGCAGTAATAGGATAATACTTGGTGACATCATTATTCCTTTGGACCTCCACCTTTCATGACCTTTTGCTGGGTTCTTAATCTGACAGGTATGCATTCATACTGTACACGCTTTCTCTTCAGCCACCAGCTGAGAATAAACATTATATACTGGAGGCTGTTGGTCAAAGGGCAGATTTTAATTTGTTCCAGTGGTTTAGTTTAGGATTAGGATTATATATATACAGCTGATCCTGCATCTGTGCAGTGCTGGACAGTGTTAAGCTTGAGCGAGAGACAAATACAAATACAGTGCCACCCAACAGTGTTTTCAGTAAGGACTTCATTCAAGCAGTGTCAATGAGAATTTAATTGAAGTGCTTGCAATAAAAATGTCATTTAAGACTGTTCTGGAATCTAAAAATGCCATGCTTGCAAAATTACCAAGTAAATGACTGTGAACGTGGGGGAGGTTGAAACTATAACAGTTATTAATCCTGACTGAACAAATCGCCATGTGATGAATTTTCAAAACAGTACCTTTACAGAAGAAGTAAAAAATATAGCAAGGAATTTTTAATTTGTGTAAAATTTCTGTTGCTTTGGATTTGGATTTCTAATAGTTGGAGTTTTCTTAAAATATTGACACAGTAGAAAGGGTGACTAGCATTTTTGGGTGACAGCAGCAAAACAACCCAACATTTTTCTTAGTTTAAGGTCAATTAATCATAGTGACCTCAGAACTAACCCCTATCCCTCTCCTATCAGAAAGCAAGAAGCTAGAAATCTTCCATTTCCAGTGACAAATTCAGATGAGCAGGAATGAAACATTGAGTCATCCTCTAAGATGTAGCTCAAGGGGGGGCTATCTGCAGTGACTCATTAGCTCCTTACCGTTCATGTGCGTTGCCAGATCAGTCTCTTTTCTGCACATTTTGCACTAATTGGACGAGAGGAATAGAGCAGTCAGAATACGAGTCTTCAAAGGTCCTGCCTCCTCCTATGAACATCATTACATCTGTTATTGGCCCCCGAGAGGGAGTCTCAGAGCAACACGCAGAGTTTAGTTAAAGAAACTTTTAACAGGAACATCCAGCTGAACTAAAGCCAATTTCTGTAGTAGGGGCGTAATGATACACAGATTTTATGGTACAATATTAGTTGTGGTTTTTGTATCCTAAAGGGCAAGCCTAAAATCAGTGACGCCAAAATATGTTCATCAAATGGGTAGCTCTGGTCCTGAAATCTGACTGAGTCATGTTTAAAGCCAATGTAAAATACTTGATACACGCAGACTTGAGCTCACACTTAATCTGAATTCTATACTAACAGACTGAGGTATTAAGTGTTCCCTGTATGAACTGTGGAATGTAGTGCTGATAGGTGGAGCCAGTCATAATCATGTTTCTGAATTAAACAGCCAAGAACTATATTACACATTTCATATGCAAAAAAAAGGGTTTTGTTGAAATGAGGGGACTGAAAAATATATGTTCCTGATTATATGACCAAAAACTAAAATGTTGACAAAATGACTGGAATACACTGTGATGGGCTGTTGAAAATTCTATATTCAGAAGTTATATGTGCCACTTACTATAAGCCGTGTCTGATCCACTCGTACCAGCACAACACACACTAACACATCACCATCACGTCAGAGATCATGTGCAGAGAAACAGATGGACTATAGTCTGTAATTGTAGAACTACAAAGTGCACCTATATAGTAAGTGGAGCTGATAAAATGGACAGTGAGCGTAGAAACAAGGAGGTGGTCATAATGTTATGCCTGATCGGTGTATGCCACTGTTCTTTATTAGGGATAGTATGCTTAGGATAGCATGTGCCTATGTATGTGCTTGTGTTTATCTTGTGAATGGATGTCCACTGCATCAAAATCCTCAGTATATGTGTTTACTGTATGAACTCGTAATGAAATATGTTCATCCATATCTACTCTTTTCATTTGACTGATGGGCCTTTTAATGCAACAGCACACACACTGGGCCAATCCAATTAAGCCGAAAGGTCACACATTCAGAGAGCGTTTTCTCAACTGTCAGCCACTTTGCAATCCCTGTAGTAAAAAGCTTTTATGAAATGCTGGACACTTGGCCTGTGCTTTAGGGTTCATTTAAACAGTGGTTTCATAATTAACGTGTTAAGTAACACTTCCAGGATGCGCAAACTGAAAGAATTCAGTGTGTGAGTGCTTCAGGCTTTTTTGGAGTAATGTGTTTGTGTGTGCATGTTGACTTTCTTTGTGTTATGTCCTCAAAGGCCTTCCTGCTGTTTTAATTTAGATCAATATAAAGTCATAGTTTTAGGCGTCTGAAAGGCAGTGCACGTGTGGGTGGGTGGTTGCGTTTTTTGCGAGGCCTTTGTGCAGGTGTAATTGGCATTAAATCGACAGGAGGCAGTGGAAAGGGTAGCAGACGTCCATGGCCACACTTTAACCAATAGCCCGAACAGCAGGAGACTAGCCTGAAGACAAAAGACTGAGACAGAGGCAGAGAGATAAAGAAGAGAGACAGAGCGAGAGAGGCAGACAGACAGAGTGAAATAGATTTGATGAGAGAGACATAAGGTCATAAGCTGGTGTGATAAGGGAAGATTTGGAGCTGATTACATAAACGTCGAGGCCTGATTGAGGAAAGAGCCGACCGACACGGTGGGAGAAGCATTTGAAAGGAGGGGACAGGGACGCAGAGCATGAGGATAAGGAGGAGTATCCTGGTGTGCTCTGGCAATGGAATAATGAATATAATTGGACCCTCGCTGCTTTTATGAAGAGGGCGACGTTCTATCATCATTATATCCGACTTTTCGCCTAGCCACGTTTGATTATGGGAAACTGAAAAATAAGTCCTTTTCTTGTGGAACTTGTGGCATCTCTAATTGGCTGAAAGATGGTCAGGGTAATTACATCACGCTTGATCAATAGGGTCTGTTCATTGAGCTCAGAAAGAGATTGTTATCGACTAGTGATTGGATGGGCCGAGCAAGGTTCTTTCCTGTTCTTTCACTCTCGTTGATCCTGTTTGACAAAAAAATGTTACTTAAAGGCACAAAGAGAAGTAGCAGTAGTCAATCTTTGTCATGAACAATACATAACATCACGCCATACCATATATAGGCAAATTAATAGAAAAACCAACATGAAAGGTTTTGTTAAGGTTTCTGGCCATCACGAGCCACCAAAGCAGTTTCAGTGTATCTTGGCATGTATTCTACAAATCTCTGGAGCTGTACTGGAAGGTGTGAACACCATTCTTTCAAAAGACTTTGCCTAATTTTTTTTCTTTGTCTAATATGTTGATCTACGGTCTTCCAAAGCTGTTTCAGTTGGCTTGAAATCTGGTGACTCTGAAGGCCATAGCATATGATTCACATCACTTTCCTGCTCATCATACTCGTCATCCTGGGAGAGACCACTTTTCAGCACATTTGCACTAATTGGACGAGAGGAACAGAGCAGGCAGAATACTTCAAATGTCCTGCCTTCTCCTATGAACATTGTTACATCTGTTAACTGTCAGAATAATTTTGTATATATTTGCGGTGGACTCAGCAAAATACCCCTCATCTGATCAGGTCCTTCTTTGACATCCTCAGTCACCTGAGGAGCAGTTGCTTTTCTGTTCTTCCTTATATGTCACACATGTACGTGATCCTCAGTGATCATCATTGAATTTGGCTTTCGGAACTGTAGTTACTGGTGTCTTTCCAATGGATCTCAATCAGCGTTGTCAAACTGAAAGGGCCATATTAAAAAATCTCAGCAAATCTGTGTGTTTATTTCATTTTTACTTAACATTTTGCCATGAATGGGCCATTGTTTTTTAAAATATGCCAAAACTGCAACAGCAAAATAGACATTGAATACCTATTGAAAAATAATTCTATGTAAAAATAAATTGTTTAGGTAGTTTTTTAAATGCCTATTTGCTTAAACTAGACACCAGACATTGTGTTTTTGTCTGTGCTGCTGGCCCATGTCATTGTAGTTAGTGTTTCTGTTGAAACTAGCCAGTTGAGTAGTCTTTGAGTTTCTGCCATCCGTGCCTTGATAATGAACCCTCTTTCAAAGTCACTTAGATCTTTTCCCACAGAAATGTTGGTGTCTGCAAACTTTTGGAGAGCATAAAACAAAAAACATATACAAATAAGAGTTACAGATTCCTTCAGTTTTAAAATCTGGTGCTTTGTGCTGTTGACCTGATGCAAGACCTTAAAGTCTGTATACAACAGAGAAGGATCCTCCAATAAAGATGAGGTCTTATGAAGGACATCATAGTAATACTAAAATGCTTGACTGGGGCACTCCTGTCATCTTAGAACCCAATTTCACATCATTTTGTAGCCATGCCTTGCGTTTCACATTTAGACTGGTGAGCAAGAGAGAGAGAGATTCTCTAAATTGATGTCAGTAATATCTGCTTCATGCTCCATCAGTGTCTTTATTTGGAGCTTGTTTAGCATAAAATGAAAACACAGCATATGCTGCACCTAAGCATCAGTCTGACCTTTAGCAGACCATGCAAAATGCCAGAGGAGTAAGTGTATTAAAAAACAAAAGTAAAGCTGACAACACTTTCTAAATGAAGTTTCTTCATCACATTCTTTTTCTGTTCAACCTTGAGCTTTTCTTAGCCTGTGCTTATCAGGTACGCTTAACACTTCATAGGAACTGTCTGTATGTGCGTGTCTCTCTGGAAGGTTCTCTTTTTATATAATAACTGCTTTGCTGTGTTTAATTGTAGTAGGACCTACAACTAAACACAGATCTACATATCAATTCTTAGTAGTCATTGTGATATTGGTCTTAGCACTACTGATACTGCAGAAGACTGCAGTATTATTGAAAATGAGACAGTAACTCTGTTTTTCAGTGTTATGTGCTACTATGTGAGCCTTTGTGCTGTTTCTTAGATTGCTGACTCTGTTCCGTTCTTGCGCAGGTGTTTCGGAGTGCGGAGGGGATGGGCATTCGTTTGGACAGCGCTTCTGCGTTCCAGGGTGCGCTTATATCACCACATTATGACTCCCTATTGGTCAAAGTCATCGCCAGTGGAAAGGATTTGCCCACAGCGGCCAGTAAGATGCTCCGAGCTCTTGCAGAGTTTCGCATCCGTGGGGTGAAGGTAGGTCTGTGATTGAGCTGTGGGTGTGTTTGTCTGAACCGCCTCAAACATGGATTTGTCTGTAGAATATAATCTGCTGCAGGTATACATGCACTTTTCTCCAGCTGCGTACCAATATTATCATAGTTTACACATTTTTATTAGTTTTTATTTCTATAGAGATTTAAAGTTTGGTTTTTGATTTTTGTTAAGTTTATACATTTTATGGTTAGTTTTGGCAAGAGGCTTAGTTTTTGATCAGCTTCAGTTTTAGTTATTATTATGATAAAAACTGTGATAGTAGATATTAGATAAGGGTAGAGTAAACCCTTCTAAATTCATGTTTTTTATATAAACTATAAAACTGTTCCCTGTCAGTGAGATTTATTAAAGCTTAAAAACACAGCTCTTCTACACTGTATGTACTGACAAGAAGTCATGCATCAAAGTGATAGACTCACAAAGTCTTGTTGACATCCTTGTCTCTGTAACATCTGCACCAGTACATCTTAACGCCTGTGATGTTCAGGTGTTTCTATTCGCGCATCAGCTACTTTTGTGTCTTTGAAAACTCTGAGGGGTTTGTTGCATTTGTACACCACACAGGAAGCGCTTCACAGCACAGTTATCGTTTATTCCATTTCGCATTACTTTTAGCACTGGTTCTTTCCCTCTTACCATCACTGCCATCTGCTTTGGTCGGTAACCGGCTCATGCTCAGAATAATTCCAAATTGGATTGTAGATATATTATGATGAGGTTTGCTGTTATAGCAGTGTTAAGTTGGCAAAATAGTACACTTCCTGCCTGGGCTGCAGCTTTCCTTAAAGGCATAGCCAGAGACATAGAAGGGATTTAAACTGTACTATCCTTCTAAACTATCCTTCATGCGTTGAAAATATGTTTTAGACTATTATTGTTAACAAGGACATTTTACCACTACTTTATTTTCATTTATGTAATGGTTACAATTAATTTTATTAACTCTGCTGCATCTGTTACATTTCGTATGTCATGAAATATCCACTTCATACATTTGTACACAAAAGTTTGAGACCCCAGAGTCAAATGATGAGTTGCTGATGATTTGCTGATTTTCTTAGTAAAAAAACACACTTCTGCATATTTTAATGCACAATTGCTGTTTTTTTGCTGAATTTAAAATGTTGAAGAAAAAAAAAAGACATAGCTTGTTCAAAAGTCGTGGCAAGTTCTGTATGTTATGTTTTACTTTTTCTAATATATTAAACTCAACAAGTAAATAGAAAATGTGCACTAAAATTTGCAGAAAACGCCATATTTAGTTTGTTTTCTGTAGAGAATGTGTTAACTTATTTTTACGTACTTACTTTTACTTTAGAAAATTAACAAAACGTAATTTCCACTGGGGGTGTACTTTTGCATACTGTTTCATATGATCGCTGTCATAAATAAACCTCATAACTCCATTTATTTGCACCATTTGCACATGCCAAATGCCGGAACACGTCGTAATGAATGGACCAATAGAGTTGTAAACAACCTAATTACGGATGTTTTTTTCTTATTTAAATAAGTTGGCATTTTAGAGGTTTTCTTACAATAGTGAATAATAAATTTACATGTATTATCAGCCGTGAAGTGTGCTAGCCCCTGTTTCCAGTTGGCAGTAACATCATCCGCTCAAGACACGATATGTTTACATTTGCTCTTTTCAAACGTAGCTTCTGCACCCAGATACTGATCAAATCTCATTTCTCCGAACAGTATTTACATTTTTTAATCAGGCTGGTGTGGCGCCGAGTGCAGAGTAGATGTGACCTATACAGGCTTGCTTTGTCTGCTTATTAAAACATTTCCAGGCATGTGAAGTTAAGGCAGGGGTGCACAACTACAGTCCTAGAGGGCTGGCATCCAGCGCAGTTTAGCTTTCTCAACTCAAACACACACCCAAACCTGGTATTTAATAGATGAGATGAACCAGGTATGTTTCAGCAGGGAAATCAAACTGTGCTTGACCCTGGCCCTCCAGGACCAGAGTTGTGCATCCTTGAGTTAAAGAATGTGGTCACAGCTGAAGCACAATCAGAAGAAAAACATGGCCTAAAAACATAGACAGGAGTGGTGGAGGAATTGTGCGCTGTCCTTCACACGTGATTAAAGACTTTTCTAATTTGTACGTCTCTGTCTGAACACACACAGACGTGTTAGACCTGAACATAGCCAAAATGGCTGCATTACGTTTAGATTACCCACAGATCATGCATGCTTGTTTTGACTGTGCAATGACTTTGCCCACTTTTGCCCACCTCTGAAACGTCTTTTAAATACATCACTATGCACCGGGGGCGGGGAACAATAGTATTGGCCATTGATACCATCTGCTTCAGCTATCACTGAGTCAAAACGCTCAGCTAGTTCAGAGACCCTGATGTTGCGTTTCACAGTGTTGTGCAAAAGTCAGAGGTCACTCTTTCAAAGTGAGTGAAAAGGCCATCTGGTACAAATTATTAATTTTTCTGTGTCAGGAAAAAGCAGAAAACCTATTTTACAGAAAATTACAGAGAAGCCTCTGTGACTAAATATAATATCAAAATTTTTCAGTATTTAGTTGTCCACACTTTGCCTTTGTTACAGCTTCCATCCTTTTCGGGAGGTGTTTTTCAAAGAAATCTGCAGGGGAATTTTTCCACACCTCCAGTTCAGTCTTAGAAGTTGGTTGTATTTTTTTTTTACTTACAACCCAAGTTCCAAACACTTTCAGTGATGTTGAGGTCTGGTCTCTAGGCTGGTCAGTCTGTTGTTCTGAGAACATCACCAGCTTCTTTGTTTGATTTGCAGTTGTCTATTTCTTCCTCTCAGTAATGACTTCTTGACAGCTACACATCCTGTAAGACCCATAGTGTAGAGTTGTGCATGAACAGAATCACCTGTTGATTTTTTCAGACCTAAGGCAAGATTGGAGATTGACTTTCTCCTCTCTCTTAAAGATGATAGCTTTACTGTACAGTACTGTTTATCTGATAGTTCTGGAGTTTTGGTGGTCTACCAAGTCAAGTCATGTATTTTCTACATCATAATATTTTTTTTGATCTCCAGGTTTGTAAAATTGTTTGTTTTTTTTATTTATTTTTGTTTGACTTTTTCCTTCTTTATGCAAGTTGATTATCTTATAGCTAGCCTCCTCAGAAATATCTCCTGAAAAATGAACAACTGGCTTAATGGATGTTTTGACTGAAAATTAAATAAAGGAAAGGTTTCTTGGTTTTTACACAGTACTGTATGTCAAGGTACGAAAGGAAAATGTGTTATTGTTTCTGATTCACTTTGACTTTAAATGCATATACAGGCAAAATCCAGATAAAGCCAAAGAGGAGTAAAAGTGTAATCTGAGACTAAGATAGAGACTGAAAACTGTGACTGTGTTTTTGCTCTCCATAACTCATCATCCAAAACTGAGTTAATGCTCATCCTCTTAGTATGTCATCCAGACTTGTAGCCCTATTAAAACTGTATTTTCCACTACTTAATTTGTTTTTGTTTAAATTGCTGCTTTGCAACTTGCAAGTGAGAGACAGACATTGTTTTGCTTTGAAGCTCCTTGACGTCTGAAACAAATCGCACTTTTTCTCTGATAGGCTCTTTGACTTTGTAGCTGCTTTTTGAGAAAAATCCTGAAAATCGTAGGAGAGTAAGGATGGAGGTTTGCATGTTTGCAGTTGATGTTGAAATGTAGACACTACTGGTGAGATCTGCAGATGCTAGTTGTGTAAGGTGACTCTCAGAAGCATCTGAATGATCAGGGAATAATAATGTTTTATTTATGGAGCACTTTTTAGACAGGTGATAATGTTTAACAGTAGTTGAGCAAAGTATGAGTGTTCATTTAAAATCAGAAAAAGGCAATGACAGATCAAATTAAAAAGATAAATACCAAAGAGAAGTAGAATTTTAATTAAATGCTATGTTAAAGGGATTTCAAATGTTTCTTGAAAAACCGTCTAATAGCAGGTAGAATTGAGTTCCACAGTTTAGAAGCATAATAACAGAAAGAGTCTCTCCACATTTTCTGTATTTTGCGGAAGGTATAAGGTCTGTACATGCAGATCTGAGATCACATGTTGGAGCATAAACAGACAGACATGTTGATGTAAGTGAGTGCTAGGCCATTTAGAGCCTTAAAAACTAGTAGCAGAACTTTAAAGTCCATCCTAACGGATACAGGCAGCCAGTGCCGTTCTTTCAGAGCGGGAGTAGTTTACACCCTCAGACACTTGCGCTGTTCTATTGTGCAGCTGATTAAGAGACTGGAGACTTGAATGCTTTCTGTTGTTTGGCTGTTAGTGGTTGATCTATAAAGCCATGATGCATTGTGGTTATTCATCACACAGCCAGCACTGTGGATATTCTTCACCCGCTGTGTGCTTAGTGGTATGTCGTCTTTTACTGTCTTTTTTCATGATGTTAAGATGAATGTGTAGGAGTTGCAGCTATCACTGGCTAACAACAACACAGTATAATTTTAAATGAATTATTTCTCACTCGTTGCTCTTTGAAACAAGCAGAGAAAGTTTGCAGAGAGTGCTGATTCTACACTGGGTTCATGACCAACCTAATTTCCATAAATGGAAGAGCAGAAATGTTTTTATGATTTGAATTTGATGAACAGTTATTACCAAGGGTTATTGCTTATATAAAGCAGGGTTCTTCAGATCTGGTCCTGGGGGACTAGTTTCCAGCACAGTTTGGCGGTTTTCCTGCTCAAACAGGCCTGGTTCAGCTCATCTGTTTGTTGCCTGATTTGGTAGGTGTGTTTGGGCAGGGAGATCACCAAACTGTGCTGGACACCGGACCTCCAGAAGCAGGTCTGAAGAACCTAATGTGAAGGAAAAAATATTACCCTGCACAATTTTTTCTATAGAAACTGTGATTCGCTATGTAGTGCTGAGTGGTATTGGTAGTTTAATTAGTCATTATCCAGACATTATTGATAATAGTTTGCAATTAAGGGCAATTCCACCAATTTATCAATATTTCTAAAT